AATGTAATTAATTCAGAAAATCTTTTCAGGACCCCAGCTTGATGTTTCGGGACCCCACTTTGGGTCCCGACCCCAACTTTGGGAAACACTGCTTTAGATCACTTAATTTCCTCCCAAAAATGCAAGTCACGTTTTAGAAAACATGCTCAGTGAGAATACTTGTGTTCAGGCAGTGGAGAGGATCAGACGTCAGCTTCAGGCTCATGAACCATGAGTGTTTAGACATGTGAAAGTACAACAGTTTATTTGAAGGTTCACATTAAACCGGCGTTTTGTGTCTTTTCTTCTCAGTCCTGGAAATCAGTTTCTCTGAGCTCACACTGGAGGAAATCATCGGGATCGGCGGGTTTGGAAAAGTTTACCGTGCAGTGTGGCGGAGCACAGAGGTGGCGGTGAAGGCAGCGCGGCGGGATCCAGATGAGGATGTGGCGCAGACTTTAGAGAGCGTGCGACAGGAAGCTAAGCTTTTTGCCATGCTGAACCATCCAAACATCATCGCTCTGCTGGGCGTGTGCCTCCAGGAGCCTAACCTGTGCCTGATCATGGAGTACGCTCGAGGAGGCCCTCTGAACCGGGCCCTTGCCGGAAAACGCATCCCCCCGTTTACGCTGGTGGAATGGGCTGTGCAGACCGCCCGAGGCATGCACTACCTCCACAACCAGGCCATCGTCCCCATCATTCACCGAGACCTTAAGTCCAGCAACAGTAAGACTCTCGTTTTGTCTGTTACTGAGATCGGACTTTGTAAAAACTTGTTCAAATGTTAATCTTAAGCGAGTGAATTTAAAGCCAGACATAAACTCTCTGAAGCACAACCAGTTCTGAAAATAACCATTTAAGTCATGTTTTTTTTTTTTTGTAATACCACAATAGTACCAATCGACACAAGTCTTGAMTTTTTCTCTGCAGCTTCAACTCACCTGCCACAGACTGACAGGTGACACTGCATCATGTGACATTTAAAAACACTGACACCATTCTGATTTTGAGCTTTTGAAATCATTTTGTTAGTATTTTTTATTTAGCACGTAGTCCAGAAATCAGAGCAGGAGGGGACACAGTTTGCATGTTAGTTTGCAGAGTTGTTGCAATCTAGCATTGTGCCCAACAGGATTTCCTAAATCCCAAGCCTATTACTGCGGATTTGTTCCATGCTCTGCCTCAGTCTCTTTTTTGGAAGAATGTATAAAGTAGGGGTGTCCCGATACCGTATTGGGTCCGATACCAGCATCAAGTACTCGTACTCGTACTCGTAAAAGCCGGCCGATACTCTTAACCGATACCGCTTTTGTCCCCTTTTTTGTTCCTCCTGTGCTGCGC